TAGATGATCAGGGAGAAAGAGAGGCCTTCAATAAAATGAATTGACCCAGGGAATACAATGGTCATAGACACTGAATTAAGTGTAAGGACGGCTCAGAAGTAGGCAGTGTGTGTGTGTGTGTGTGTGTGTGTGTGTGTGTGTGTGTGTGTACACACGCAGATGCCTTTGTGTCTTAACCGTGAGCATTTCACAATAGCATGACATTATTCTTTGTAAGTAACATCACTGGTAATGTAACGCAAAAAGCTCGTACTATTTGATCCCCCTGTGAGTATTGGTTCTGTTCTCCATGTTAAGAGTGTTGCATTAATATTTATTCATGTATCTGAGTTCAGAATAAAATAATGAGAACTGTAGTTGAGGCACACATATTTTCTTATATTTGCTTTGATTTCCAATAAACAAATAGTCTGTTTATTCACCTCTCAGATAATCTATTAATAGTAAGAATAAAATACATTTATAGACTATAGTCCCCTTTAGCGGTTTTCCCACAAGCATTCTCACTGACAAACGTAATGGTTACTTTCAAGTGTTTATTTCTGTGGATCCCTCTGTATGGAATTTGATGGGGTATATTTTTGTTTATTTCTTATCTCTTGAAAATGGACTGCTAGGAAAACAAACCGATTTGTCCTGGAAAGGGTTAAACCGGGTGGCTCCTTGGAGGCAAGGATTCTGAGGCTCCTTCTAACATACTTTGGACACGTTGTGAGGAGAGACCGGTCCTTGGAGAGGGACATCATTCTTGGGAGTGTGGAGGGACAGCGCAGGAGAGGAAGGCCCTCTATGAGGTGGATTGATTCAGTGACTGGGATAATCGGGATGGGAGTGTCAGAGACAGTGCGATTGGCACAGGACAGAGCGGAGTTTAGGGCTGCTGTACATAGGGTCGCTATGAGTCGCAGGCGACTCGACGGCACATAACAACAACAACAACAACTTGAAAAATATCTCCCTCAGGAACGTGTTAGGGAGGAAAAAGTCTGATTTCACACCTTTACCGAAAACTCCTGAGTCAAAATGTATTTTAAGGCACTATGCTTTATTTATTTCTTCAGAGCCTAATATATTAAATGCTGTTGTTAGGTGTAGTCAAGTGGATTACCTTCTAGTGACCACCAGATATTTTAATGTTCATCTATGGTTAAGAACCACTAGAGTAAAGATTACTATTCCATTCTTTGTGAAGCCCACACTCCCTAAATTACCACTGATATCTTGAGTTTTAGCTTCGTGTTGAGGAACTGTGCTGCCAACGCAAAGGCACTTGGTTCAGATCCACCAGTTTTTCCATAGGAGAAAGATGAGCCGCCTCCTCCCACGTGAATAACTGCTTCTGAAAACCTGCTGGAGGGTCAACTATGAGTCAGTTCCTACTTGAAGGTACATAATAGCATGAAACACTCACTCTCTTCATTACTTCATTACTCTCTTCATTCTACATTCTTGACTTGTGTATATGTGGCGGCTGTTAGGTAGGGTTACCTCAGGTATATCTTAGCATAAGACATTTTATCAATCAAGTGAACTTGGTTTTAACCTTTGGAAATCAAATAAAAACATCAGTGTCTTTGGAGTTAAGTAAGTTTAGAAGAACTAAAATATGATACTGAAGTTATTTTATGCTTTTAAAAATTTAAATCAGTATCAATTATTGATACTCTCAGGCCTGTCTTTCATTGTTTTTGTACAGACATTCCTCTAGGTCGCATAGCTCTGGTGTACAAGTTGCTGTACAGAGGTAACTTGTCGTTGCTGTGAGGCTGAACACTGTGACACTGATGTGTCAAATGTGTTAATGGTTGGTTACCCAATGTGAACAGAGTTGGGTGGAGCTCCCCTATTAAGACAAGCTTGGAAGCAGGAGTGGCATTCACTTCCATAGTAGCTTGCCTCCAAAAACCCTATGAACCTGGAGAGAGGATGAAAGACCCAAACGTTGAGGACTCTCCTTCATAGGGTCGCTATGAGTCACCTGCGACTTGATGGCACTTAACAACAACAACAGTCCTAAAAACAGTTCTAAGGGCTAGGCAGTGGTAACTATCACAGGTGTTAAGGATCACAAAACAGATATCATGATGTAAATTCAAATATTGGCATATAATTCTAGGAAAACATAATTTAAGAATTAATTTTTTTCCTTAGTGTTTTGTAAGGGCTTGAAAACTGAATTTGAGATCTTACTTAATTTCCACAACAATTTCATAGTAGAAAGGGACAATATATTAGTGAGAGAGTATTATCCACATTGTAATGAATACTGAAGAAATATTCAGTTGAACAAATGAATGAATGCACTATTAGTAATGATGTTGTTGGGTGCTGTCCAGTTGAGTATAACTCACTGTGACTCTATGAACAACAGATCTGACCCTGTCCTATCTTGCGTCATCTTCACACTTCCTGACACATTAGAGCCCATTGCAGCAGTCAATCCACCTGGTCGAGGGTTTTTCTCTCCTTTGCTGATGTTTTATCCTTCTGAGACTCATGTCCCTCTCAAAGGAATAGCCACTTATTGCCCAAAGTATATGAAGCAAAGTCACATCATCTTTACCTCTAAAGAGCACTCTGGCTGCATCCTTTCCAAGACATATTTGTTTGAGCTTTTGGCAGTCTATGAGATGTTCAGTGCTCTTCTCCAACACCACAGCTCAAAACCTTATGGACAGTAGGAACACGAATACTAATGATAAGTAACAATAATAGTACAATAATAAGAAATAGAGGGGCTTCAGGCCTTTTTTTCATAGGTCACTAGGAGTCATGCTCGAATTGGAGGCAATTGTCAACAACAACGTTACTAATGTTATGTGGTGTCGATTTGAAACCAACTCACAGTTGACCCTCCAGTGGGTTTCCAGAGATTTTAAATCATGTAGAAAGAGATTGTACATTTTTCTCCTGTGGTGCATTTGGCGTATTTAAACAGCTTGCCTTTGGGTTGGCAGCACAACTCTTTACCACTAAGCCACAATAGATATTACACACTACATGTTTTTGTAGATGTCGGGACTGTGTCAAATTGTTTACAGCATTCACAGTGGAATAGTTTCCAGTCATTTTACAACTGAGCAATCTGTGAAAGAGAAAGAATGGTTCCCTCTCTTGAAGTCATCACATAATTGAATGCTGTCAGAGATTTTAATTCAGTTACAATTGTGCTGGGTAATACTGCACCTTCATTCTTTTAGAGAACCTACCGAATGTATTGATTAAGCAAATGTCTGGTGACCAAAAAGACCAGGAGTTTGAACCAAGCAGTTGTTGAAAGGGAGAGAGACTTTCAGTGAGCTTTCATAGTAGATCTTCAGTGGGCTTTCTTAATAGATCTTTCGTGGACTTTCATAATAGATCTTCAGTGGGCTTTCATAATAGATCTTCAGTGGGCTTTCGTAATAGATTTTTAATCTTGGAAATCCTGTGAAGTAATTCTCTTTGTCCCTTAGAGTTCTGTATGTTGTATTTGGCCACTCAGCAATGGTGAAGTTAGGTTATCCATGGCTTTGTTCTTCTTAGTGGACAAGGGGAAAGATAATGAAAATAATATGAAGATGAAAAGCAGAGTTAAACAAATAGAAACCTGGGATTAAAATTTTAGTAAGAAATTCACTTTTACGCTCATGTAAGTGCAAAGACCTACATTAATTTATCCTTAAATTCTTTACTGTGTAAGCCATCATGACTTCGTGTCTTTTTACTGTCCCATATGAAAGAAAATGTTGATAATAAAAATTAATACTAATAAGAAAATGAAATATATATTAACAGACATTTATTTTACTACACACCTGTTAAGCCCTAGAATGACAGTCTTAAAACCCTAGATGTAATAATAATACTTATACAGCATTAATGAAAAAGAAATCTATATTAATTAAAATGAAACTGATAAATATTACCAATATTATCTTATTTGATTTTGCAGAAAAGGATTCTAGTCTCAGAAACTTCAGATAATTGTTTTATAGATCATATAGATCATCAGTTATAGAGTCCAAACTGAAGAATATTTAAAATATAGTGACTTGTAATTGTAAAATGCTTGTACAATTGTTTGAGCAACCATACTTAGATAATTTAAATATCCTTATAAAGGTGAATCTAGAGGCAGTAACTATACAACTTAGTGGAAATAGCATAACAGTTCATGTTTTTCTGCTTATCGTGCCACACAGATACACACAGATTACAAACACCATTCATAAGACCTTCCTCATTATGTTCTTAAACTACTTTGTTGAAAAAAATTCTCTAATCTCACCCATATAATAAATATAATATATACTAATATAATATAATCATTGTTGCTGTTGTTGTTTGGTGCCGTTGAGTCACAGACGACTCATAGAGACCCTATGAATGAACAGCCTGAGCACTGTTCATACAGAACATATTACAATATATAATTATAATATAATATAATATAATATAATATAGTATAATATAATATAAATTTCAGGTGATATTACCTTACTGTCTGCAAAATTACATTATTTTCTGAATTTATTTATAATTAATAGGGGCTTATATATACTTAAAAGGATCAGTGATGGGAAATTGAGCAATGAAGCATAGAGTTATAAATATATGTTAAAAGTTTCTGACACAGTCATTGAAATATCTGACTACAATTAAATAATGAAGTAATTACTGTAGGATTATCAACAAATGTAGCTAATTTAAAATGAGAATAAATTACAAAACTGAAAGTCAATGCCCACCAGTTTCTAATTCCTCCAGTAACTGTGTGAATTAGATAAAGTGTAACTTATGCTGAACTGTCATTTAAGCATAAGGAGAAATGGTATTAAAATGAATTTTAGGAAACTAGTTAGACTATGAGGAGACAGGAATACTTGCAGTATATGCAGAGAATGTCCTCCTTAAAGTGCAAACAACTGTAGTTACCATAAAATTCATTACGAACAGCTCAATCTAATTGAAGAAGAGGTAAGGAGTTATAGAAAGGTGAAGGGAAAGTCAATGTAAATTTACCTTTTTCATAGATGAATTATCATGACCACCCACAGGAAAGAAATCTAACTCTACAGAAGGAATTTGTGCTGTTGGATTTTGCTGATGTACCCCATCTCCAATGGTTTCTTTTTGGATTATTTTTAATCATCTATATTATCATCTTGTTAAGTAATGGCACCATATTTCTCTTAACAAAAATAGATCCTGCTCTCCAGAGTCCGATGTACTTTTTCCTGGCAAATTTTTCTTTCTTGGAAATTTGGTATGTTTCCGTCACTCTCCCCAGAATGCTGATGAATCTTGCCACCCAGAGAAGAAGAATCTCCCTGGTTGCCTGTGCGACACAGATGTGTTTTTTCTTTATACTTGGAACCACCGAGTGTTTGCTCTTGGCAGTGATGGCCTATGACCGCTATGTGGCCATCTGTAACCCTCTGCACTATCCTATGGTCATGAACCACAGGGTTTGTATTCAGCTGGTGGCTGGCGCCTGGCTTTCTGGAATGCCATTTCAGATTGGGCAAACTTATCAGATTTTCTCTCTACCGTTTTGTGGTTCTAATCTAGTCAATCACTTCTTCTGTGACATTCCCCCTATTCTCAAGCTGGGTTGTGGTGATACTTTTATAAATGAGATCTTGGAATTTACGATCACTGTGTTATTTGTCCTACTTCCATTTCTGCTGATACTTGGCTCCTATAGTAAAATCATCTCCACCATCCTGAAGCTGCCATCAGCCACAAGCCGTTCCAAAGCTTTCTCTACGTGCTCATCTCACCTGATGGTTGTGGTGCTATTCTATGGATCAGCCACAACTGCATACTTAAGACCCAAGACAGGTCAACCAGAAGGAACTGACAAAGTGCTTTCTCTCTTCTACACTATCTTGACTCCTATGTTTAATCCCGTGATATATAGTCTAAGAAACAAGGATGTCATTGTGGCATTGAGAAAATTGCTATGTAAATAAAAAGTTTCATTTGAAAACAAAGATAAATGTAGAAGCACACCATTCTCATGTTATGTTTTGTTTTGTTTTAATGAAATGCCAATAAATGTATATCTTTTTGCTCTAGTTTGTCTTTCTATTCAATAATCATTGTTGTTAAATGCCATCAAGTCGTAGACGACTCATAGTGATCCTATGAAGGAAAGACCTAACACTTGTATGACTTTGATCATTTCTCCAAGTTCATAGAGTTTCTGGAAGCAAGATTTTAGAATTATTTGCCACTACTGCTTCCAAGCTTGTTTTAATCGGGGAGCTCCACCAAACACTGTCCACCATGGGTGACCATTCTCACATTTGACTCATCAGTGTCACAGTGTTCAGCATCACAACAACTACAGATTACCTCTGTACAGCAAGTGGACAGACAAGGGCTATACAACCCATAAGAATGTTTCACAAAAAACAATTAAAAGCAAAAAAAAAATTCTAAAAATGATCATTATTTCCTAATTTAAAAAACATGTATATAAAAAAAAACCCCAAAAATATATATGATAGTTCCAAGTCTTGTCAAGATATATAATTAAAAATTTAACACTAGATAGTATATTATTCTATCAGTAATTCTATAACAGTGACATTAAATGTGTTCCTCCCAAAATTTTGAAAGGAATAATTTAATTTTTTTCTGTCATAATGTATAATCAGATAGCTTATTAGAAACCATTTCAGTCATTTTTATGAATTTCTAATACAGGTGTAAGTTATTTTTTGGGGTGAGGTGAATATGGTAAAAGCAACTTTTGAGATGTTAAGTTCTTGGTCCATAGTAAGTGTTCATTAAATATTAACCAATAATGTTATTTAATTGGCCAAATGTGTAGTGATTTCAATGGTAAATGAACATATTGAAGTAGATAATAAATCATTTGAATTATTTAAACAAAACCACAGTAGTTTTTTTTTAAAAAAAAATGATAAGGTTTAGATGTTGTACAGTGATCAAAAGAAGGATTTTTATAGTGTAAGAATTCTCACATTCTTCTGACCTTGTGGCTTAATACACCAATGGGAGTCAACTGAATTAAAGATCCAGGCTGTCAAAATAGATTGTCATATTTAATCAACTGAGTAGACATCATTGGAAGCAACATAACTGTCTTTCACTCCATCATTCTTTCCAGGGGAGATTTTCTCATGGTATGTATGTTTCCTAGACTTTGAAATACATTTAAAAGGCTACTCTGACAATCAATATTGTTACTCTTAGGTGTCTATGTACAATAATTGATGACCAACAAATTAAAATTTTGTTCATCAACCAGGAAGCAGTCCTTAGGACAGAACAAGAGAGTAATGTATGGTTTAATACCAGGAGAATTTTGCATCAGGTCTGCATCCTTTCTTTATTCCTATTCAATCTGTATGCATTTGAGAAGCTAAACTATATGAAAAACAAAGTTACATCAGGATTGGAGAAAGATTCAGCAGCAGTCTCATTTATGTAGATGATACAATCTTGCTTGGAGAACATGAAAAAGAATTAAAGCATTTACAGAAAAGTCAAAGACTAAAGTTTCAACATGGATTGTGCCTAAATATCAAGGAAACAAATTCTCACAACTAGCTCAATAGGCAAATTAATGATAGGTGGAGAAAATATTAACTTTGTTAATAATTTCATCCTACTAGACTTCACAACCAATATCCATATTAGCATAAAACAAGAGAAAATTACATAAAAGGCATGTTGCATTGGCAAATATGCTATTCTTTTAAAGCTTAAGATGTGACTTAAGCCATACTATTTTTCAATTGCATGTAAAATTTGTACAATGGGTAAGGAAAATACAGGAGGAATTTATGATTTTTAGCAGGGATGTTGATGAGAGGAAAGTGCATTACAAAGATCTTCAGATGTTTTACAATAATTTTTAGGGGTATTGAAGAAGTAAAAATGATGATTTTGTTGTTATTGTGTACTGTTGAGTCAAAACCAACTCATAACTGAACCCCCGAAGGGTTTTCAGAGGCAGTAAATCAGACAGAAGGAGATTGTCCATCTTACTTCCACAGAGCATTTTGGGTGCCTTTGGGTTGGAAGCACACCTTCATGAAACTTAGGCACTAGAATTCTAAAAATGATAAGAATATTAAAATAAACTCTCATTAAGTCAAAGTAAACTTAGGCACTAGAATTCTAAAAATGATAAGAATATTAAAATAAACTCTCATTAAGTCAAAGTAAAATCCCCTTTATGTGTTGTTGTTGTTAGGTGCCATAAAGTCAATTACAACTCATGGTGAACGAATGATTGGAACCCTGTCCTATCCTGGGTCATCCGCATCATCTCTGACACACTTGCCCTACTTGCTGAAGTCACTGTGTCAATCAATTTCATTGATGGTCTTCATCTTTCGTTGACCTTCTGCTTTTCCAAGCATGATGTCCATCCCCAAGGAATAATCTTTCCTAATAACATTCTCAAAGTATATGACACAGAGCATTGTCATCTTTGCCCCTAAGGAGCACTCTGGCTGTGCCTTCTCCATGACATAGCTGTTCCTTCTTTTGGCAATGCATGGAATATTCAGTACCATTCTTCAATATACAGATAAAAGTCATAAATCCTGTTTTCTGCCATCCTTATTCACTATCCAACTGTCAGTAATTAAAAAGACCATAACCTGAATCAGGCAGACCTTAGTTGTCAAACTGACATCCTTGCTCCTCAGTAATTTGAGGAGTTCCCTGACTGCACATTTTCCCAGTGCAATGTATCTTCTGATCTCCTAATTTCTGGTACCAATGATGTTGATTGTGGATCCAAGTAAGATGAAATTGTTGACAACTTCAATATTTTTTCCATCTATCATAATGCTCTTTATCAGTCCAATGAGGAAGATTTTTGTCTTCTTGACAAGAGGATCATGAGATTAAAATTCATATTAAATGCTGTAGTCTTTGATATTCTATAGCAAGTGTTTGAAATCTTCCTCACTTTCAGCAAGCAATTTTGTGTAATCTGTATAATACAGATTGTTGATGAGTCTTCCTTCAATCCTAACATACGTTCTTCTTTATAAAGTCTAATTTCTCAAATGATTCTCTCAGTGTACAGATCAAAAAGATACAGATAAAGGATACAATCCTGACACACACCTTTCTTGATTTCAAACCATGCGGTGTTCCTTTGCCGTGTTCAGACAACAGCTTCTTGTTATAGGTAGAGGTTTTGTAGAAGTGTAATTAAGAGTTCTGGGAGTCTCATTTGGGGTATCAGATATATTGAGGATGTTTACTGAGTCACTAGGAGTCATAGTCAATGTGACAGCACCTAACAATAACATAAATTTTGTTAGTCATTATATCAGGTGCTTTTTTAATTCTTAACATGGACAGCTATGCACTTTCACAGAGTTAATTGTGTTGTAATTTTTATTTATAACTAGAAAAGTTTTTTCTTAATAAAAATAATAGTTGTAAAATTTACAAGATTAGTTTACTTTTAATTAAAAATGTGTAAACCTCACTATCATTTTGACTCTTTACTGCAATTGTATGAAGTATTAATAAAAGTTTATCTTATTTCTCCAAAAATAACCCATTTCTCAGTGACATTTTTAGATGAATGTAATTCATTTACTTCATTTGCTATTATTAATATATAATAAAATGTTTCTATTTTTATCTTTTGTGTATCACCAGAACATTCCTCTCTTTACATATAGTTTAACCCTGTGAAATTTAGAACACTATAAGAATTCCTTGTAGCTTGTTATTCCTGGGAAAAGCACCCTAAATAACTCAGATCTACCTTCCATTTCAATCCATTACTCTGCCACATCTGGTTCATATAGGAAGTCTTCCTAACAACTCTCTGTTCACTCACTTGTCATGATGACACCCACTATCTTTATCTGTGCATTTGTTTTACTTTCCCTTCTCACCCATGTCCATTGTATTTTTATAATGGTGATCTCATGCAGCTTTCATCCTTTTGTGACTGTTTTCACACAGTGTGGTACCCTCTGGGCTTGTCCATGTTGCATGGCGTTTACAAGTGCGTTTTTCTTCAATACTATGTAATAAACTATGATGTTGTGTGAATGTATTGCAGTTTTTCAATCCATTCGTTTGTTGATGACACTGGGCTGCTTTCATCTCTTCATTATTGTGAATAATGATTCAATAAACACAAGTCTGTTTGGCTATTGTTTCTTTAGGTTATGTGAGTGAAATGAAGGACTACCTAAAAGGGATAGATTATTAGACATTATGTGTATGACAATTAATAATCTGGAACACCACATGCATTACAGAGTGATAGGGGGAGGGGAAAGGAGGAAAATGTAAAGGAAAGAATGAATGAAAGCAAATAATTTCTGTAAACTTTCACTGTTGTTGTTGTTAAGTACAATTAAGTTGTAGATGACTCATAGTGACCCTATGAACAAAAGACCTGAACACTTGTATAACTTTCACCATTTCTCCAAGTTCATAGAGTTTCCAGAGGCAAGCCATTTCGGACGGGGGTGCCACTCTGATTTCCAAGCTTGTTTTAATAGGGGAGCTCCACAAAACATTGTAATACAATCACAATAAAAAAAAATTAAACATAACACCTATATTTCAATTAACTTCCCTAATCTTTTTCCGTTATTAAAGTGTTATAAGTTTTACACTCTGGACAGATTTTTTAAATGAAATTCATCTTTTCATTTATTGCCTGTTCATGCCAGGTGAGATTGCCTATCACTATCCACCAGAGACTTTGGCAGACTCTAACTTCCTGCCTTTGAATTTGCAGAGCAACTCATTAACCACTAGGCTACCAGATCTCCCAAACAAGATTGTTGTTGCATGCCATCAAGTCTGATCAGAACCTACTCATGGTTGACCCTCCAGCGGGTTTTCAGAGGCAGTAAATTATACAGGAGGAGATTGTCCATCCTTCTCCCACGGAGCAGCTGGTGGATTCATGCCATGTGTCTTTGGGTTTGCAGCACAGCTTCTT